GGGTTTGGATTACAGGGAAACAGTGATGGAGTATTTGGTTATTAACATTACAGATTTAAGTAATGTATAACCTGTAGCTACTGAAAGACTAATAAATTCTACAGCTTTCAAAGCTGGCATTTATTGCTTACAAATTGGACGCTTATTTTTTTCTCTAGTAGGTTTTCATCATATTTTTATGCCTTTAGTGAAAGATCATTTTAGAACCATAGACTTAGCTAAAGGCATAAGGAAGCACAATCTACCATACAATACAGTGTAATCTGTTTTTTGTCTTTTTGTTTTTTTGGGTTTTTTTGCAGTACGCGGGCCTCTCACTGCTGTAACCTCTCCCGCTGCGGAGCACAGGCTCCGGACGCACGGGCTTAGCGGCCATGGCTCACGGGCCCAGCCGCTCCGCGGCGTGTGGGATCCTCCCGGACAGGGGCACGAACCCATGTCCCCCACATCGGCAGGCGGACTCTCAACCACTGCGCCACGGGGGAAGCCCTGTTTTTGTATTTCTATGTATTTTTTGTATCCTACCTCAGAAAGAGTTTTTAGTATATTCCCATGTGCCAGTGGCAACTCATTGATTCAGCCCCTATGGGCCATACCATTTCATGATAAAGCTGAATGCAGGTCCAACACAGGGCGTTTAATCTCATTGTAAACTTAACAATACCACTCGTAGGTCTCATTGCACCTGAAGTTTTGTTACTTGTAAAGCAATGAAGGATAGGTTGGAGACATTTTTTTAAAGCAGAAAAAACAAAAGACAGGCATTACGTTCTCACAAGCAAATATGAAGGCTTTATAATAAAAATATGCACAAAACCATTTTCTGAAACGGTGACTGATGCATCTCCACCACACCAGTTCACAGACTTCATGGTCATCAGAACTGTGAGCTGTTGAAATTGCACATCGTTTTATGGACGCTGACACAATAAAAAAGAGTGTTGTTAGAGAGTGTTTCTTTATTGGCAGTATGAAGAAACTTTTGAGAACCCTGCTTCATTCTTCAAGTCAAGAAATAATTTTACAGAAGAAACACTGAGAGCCTTGTATCTTCCTCTCTAGATTTCTTGAAAGAGTCAAATTGCAAGAAAATGGTTGGTTATCATGAACTTAGTCTTAAAAGAAAAGTAAAAGTAAATTCCAAGCTTGTGCTGGAGTCTATATATTTAGTTCAAGATTTTAGGTGCATAGTCAGTACGTAGATGATATACAGAATGATTATCCTTCAACATTGGAAACATTATAAGAAGAATGTGATACACTTTGAAAGACATCATAGGAGTCAAAACAAAAAATTACATTATAAGGGTTAAGCTTAAAAAACATAGTTCTCTTATTAAAAAGCCTTCCTCTCCAACCATGCCAAATAGGTGAGTACTCTGGAACCTGTCAGCTAGCCAAGCAGCATTTTCAACCACTAATATTAGGTTTTAACAGTGAACATCAGAGAAGCAGTCAAGGATATCATAAAAGATATATGGTCACAATGGCAGAAATCCAAACAAAATTTCTCACCAGTATTTATCAGTGACAACAGTTCTGTACTTTAGCCTTGTGTGAATCATTGAGGGGAAAATGGCTTTTAAATATTCAAACCTTCTTATAACCCTTTGAGAATTAAAGAGGCTTAACTTGCCAGCATACCCTACACAGGACATACCGTTTGAGGTATTAGTGATCTCACAGGAGGTAGGGAAAACTCTCCAAAACATTAATAGCAAAACAAACAAACAAAAAAATCCTAGGTCTTGAGATGTAGCTTCAGGCATACTTGGAGGGGCAGGGCAGAGTTTCCTCATGATAGATGCCCATAGGAATACTGAGGTGCAGCATTGCCCTACAGGTAGATGCCTATGTCAGTATTCTGAGCTGTCAGTGAGGAGCAGCTGAGTCTGGGGCTTCTGAGTTGAGCCACAATTCTCAAGAGAGTCTGAAATAGTCATAAGCCAGTGTCACTCCTGGCTTTCAACAGAAGGATCTTTAAATTCTCTTTGGAGGAATGAATTCGCAATTTAGGATTCTCACAGTTTAGGGTCAAGAAATGAGTTCAAAATAAAATGTCAGCAAACACTTAAGTAGGCAGTCAACTTGATGACATTCACCAGAAGTAAACAAATAAACAAAAAAACAGACTTAGACCTCTCCACCCCTACCCAAGGAAAGCAGATATTGGAATTGCCTGATACAGAATGTACAACAGCTGTGTATGAATTGTTCAAAGATAGAGGGCAGAATCATAGCAATGAATGAGCAATAATAGACTATCTGACCAACAGCTTTGAAAACAGGTGAAACTTCTAAAAGTGAAAAATACAATCCTTGAAATAAAAATTCAATACAAGGGTTAAATAACATACTAGAAACAAGAGAAGAAAGGATTACTGAACTGAAAGATATATGCAAAGAAATTACTAAGAATGAGACCAACAATGTCTTAAAGAATATGTCCTACCCAGAATCTGCTAGAATTTGAAGCCTCTTTTAGTTCTTTAAGTATTCATAGGATCTTTGAATATTAAAAATATGTCTTCTCTAGTGATGAATAGTAATGTACAGAACTCTTCTTACTGATGAACCTTGGTGAGAAAAGTTTGCTTTTACTTACTTTTGCCATTTTAATTATATATTTTTTGTCATCTTGTTTGGCTGTTCTGATGTTTACCTTTGTGATCAACATTAATGAGTAATTAATGGTAAGAAGATGAAAAATATAAAAGAGAAGTTGGGAAATATTGAAGGATTGAAAAGAAATTCTAACATTTAACTAATTGGAGTACCAGAGCTGATGAACAAGTGAAACCATGATGCAGAAACCACGTGCAAGAAGATAAATGAAAGAAATCCATGGCTAGACACACTGCAGTAAAACTGCAGAATATGAAACACAAAGAGAATATATAAATGCAGCCAAAGTCAATTGACAACAGACATCTCAACAGAAATCATGAAAGCACAGGGACAGTGGAATTCAGAGTGTTAAGAGGAAAAACTGAGTACCCTGTGATCTTTCAAGAATGAGAGCAAAATGAAAAGGTTTACAAGTTTAAAAAAAAAAGACTGAAATAGTAAACTTCAAGGATCGTAAGTCATAGAGAGGGGAATATATTTGCCATACCTGTATATAGTATGATACTACTTAATAAAGCCCCCAAATTAGCATACCTAAGCAATGTATTATTTAGTTTTATAGATTGTGTGATAAAACTATATTTTCTTAAAGGTCAAGGAAACGATAAACTCAAAATTGGGGATAATGATTATATTGTCAAGAGGCCACAGAGGCAGGAGTTGGATAAGGGAAGAACTCATAAGTGCATGCAAGTGGCTGGTTATGATTTTACATCTTGGGTTGAACAATGGGCTCATGTGTGATAATTATCTTATTATGTTTTATAGTTACATGTATTTCCTACATGTTTGTAACTATTACCTCTAATAAGATAGCAACAAAAACTGAAAGGAAAGGAGTGTGCCAGTGGCCTTGTAATAGCTCAGTCATAGTTTAGAATCACAAAATATCAGAGATGGCCTAGAAAGGAAGTTAAATGACACACATATTTACTCAACGTATTTTAATGTAGCACTGTTGTTGGCGTTTGGGTTACATCTAGCGGCATAAGAGACCATCCCTTCTCCCAGGGAGCTCACTATTTTAGTTGGACAGTAGGGGAAGAGCAGAAAATAAACATAAATATAATAAGTAAATTATATGGTATGTTAAGAAGTCATAAAGGCTATTGGGAAAAAAGAAGAACAGAGTAAAGGAGAACAAGAACTGCCAAGGAGAGTTGGGGACAGGGACAGGCCACAGTATGAAATAAGGTAGATAAGCCTCGCTGAGAAGTCGAGGTGTTAGCACAACTTGAAGGCAGTGAGGGAAACAGGCAATTGTGTATTTAGAGCAAGAGCTTTTCTTCATGAGAGAAAGAAGTTGAGAGTGACTTCAAGGATGGAGTTGTATCAGCTGAGATGGAGAGAGCTGCAGTGAAATAAGCTTGCAGGGTATGATTAGGACAGTTGGACCTGCTGGGTTAGAGATGGTGTTAGACTTCCGAGTGAAGATGTCAAGTAAGCAGCTGAACATACTTGTCTAGAGTTCAAGGTAGAAATCTGGAGAAAGTCCAAATGCATGTCAGTGGTAGAGTCAGTCCTAATTCAGTGCTTTTTGTGTCAAACAGGGCCAGATAAATTTGAAAGAATTAAGAAGTGAGTTTCATGAAGATGAGCACAATAGAAATGAGTAGGAATATTCTGAACAACACCAAAAAAAAAATGGAGTAAGAAAATGTTTCTCATTAGAATTTTTTTCCGGGTCTTTCAAAAATATGTAAATGTAATAGAATTCAGTTAGCCTCAAATGGACATATTTGCTATTTTGAGATAGCTGTCAATTTTCTGAGGATTTATGTATTACTTCTCATGTTATTTTCTGTTATCTTTTCTTGTTTGTAGGCCACAGCGATTATGGAGCACTCTTTCAAATGCATAAATAAATGAAACCAATTCTGTAGGAAATTATGCAACATAGAGAATTCCAAAAAATTATCCACATGTGGATTTTTATTGGCCCTGCTCATGTTTTAGAATGAAATGACTATAACTTTGCCAAACTGCTTAGCACAATTATAAGGCTGGGGCATGCTGTTGGAATGATTTACAGAGAGACTGAACTGATTACATGGTGTTTTATTTGCATTACATTAAATCCAGAGCATTTCTTAGAGCTTGCTGAAATCCAGATGTAGAGCCAAGATGCATTCAATGACATCAGTGGGTTGTGGTCATTGTCTAAGAGCTAAAAAAAGGATACTGGAGATCCTCTGGTTCTTTATATTATAGCAGAGAAAACTGAGAGAGATTAAGTGATTTATCTAAAGTCACCAGTGACAGAATGTGTCAAGAACCTACCTTAGCCTCTGATATCCAGGCTAGTGTACCTTCTTTAGCCATTGTCACAAACACTCGAAATTTGCTTCCTTTTTCTCCATATCCCTTTGCAGGGTTTCTTCCGGAGGACAATCAGATTGAAGCTTATTTATGATAGGTGTGATCTTAACTGTCGGATCCACAAAAAAAGTAGAAATAAATGTCAGTACTGTCGGTTTCAGAAATGCCTTGCTGTGGGGATGTCTCATAATGGTAAGTGAACCCTTAGTGCCACATACTTTATTATTCTCATTATGGCTGCCAGATCAGTAGACATGAGGGCCGTTGCTGAAAACGTGTACAGTTTTTCCACAGATTGCCAGATTTCAGAATACTGCATGCTGATAAAACGTTTCTCAATTAGGTCAGAATTTTTCAGCTTTAAATGTGAATCATTCTCTCTTATAGTTGAGCATCTGCCATGATGGGAGAAAAGACGGGGAAATCTGGGAGATAATGGAAATAACTGTAGTATTCTGAAACAAATGTAATGATAGTTGTGGTTAATTTTTTGTGTTGCTTTAATAGTATTAAAAACAGATTATACTTTACTTATATATATCAGTAGTTTCTACTTTATTTTTTTAAAATTTTGGGGGGTAGAGTTGATCTACAAGTTTGTGTTAGTTTCAGGTAGACAGCAAAGTGAATCAGTTATACATGTACACATATCCACTCTTTTTTTTTTTTTTTTTAGATTCTTTTCCCATATAGGCCATTACAGACTATTGAGTAGAGGTCCCTGTGCTATACAGCAGGTTCTTATTAGTTATCTATTTTATATATAGTAGTTTCTACTTTTAATGTAAGAAAATTCTGATTTCTGGATATGGAACTTAAGTGGTATATAAGAATTTACATATATGTCCTTTTTTCTCTTTACTATGCAAAAATGAGTAGAACACTATCCTTAACTTTATGCAGCATACAATTTGTGGATTAAGCAAATATTTTAAAGTTTCACAAAACTTCAGTATCCATAGTAACATAAGAGAGTAAAACTTGCTACTTTTTAAACCTGTATCTGAAGTCAGGCTTATTATCTGGAATGTCGACTTGAGGGAAGGACAGTAGAAGACCCATGTTTTCCTGAACTGTAGCACTAACTCAGTAACATCATGGAAGACAGTGCTGTTGGAAGAAATAGTTCTTAATTTGGCTCTCATTGGTTGACTGGCTCACAAAAAATAATTTTGATGTAATTTGGTAGTATTATATTTGTGGAGAATTAGTCAGTTCTTTCCAAAATAATTATGGGTTCAAGAGATATAAAATGCCAAAGTAATCTAATCCAAAGTCTCATGTCATCTATACCCTGTTTTTTTTTTTTTCTTTTACCTTGTCCTCTCTCAAAACTAATCTGGTAAGAAGATATAATATTTGAAGTCAGTCTTCATCTATAAGGACTCCAAAGCATCTGTGAAAATTAAATTTTTGTTCCATCATGCAGATGTTTGGTTTTTATAGCAGAAATCAAGATATTTGGGAATCACTAATTGAACTGATCTTCTATCCTTTAAAAATAGTTTAAAAAATTATATTTGTATCATAATATGGGGTCATTTCCTCTAAAGGCAAGAATGTATTTTGAGTAGATCCATCAGCTATACTAGACAGGATGGAAATTTGGTCCAACTTTCCTCAACAGTTGATTATATCTGCTGTGTATACAACTGCAGTCATTAATTGCAAGATAATTTGCTGGTTTAATTCCATCAGTTTCCTTTTTATTTCAGACTTCATAAAACATAAGGGTTTTTACCAATTTTCAATTCAAGGGTTATATTTTAGGTGATGCGATCAAGTTGCAATAAACTTTTTTTTTTTTTTTTTTGGCTACGTTGGGTCTTCGTTGCTGCACGCAGGCTTCCTCTAGTTGTGGCGAGCAGGGGCTACTCTTTGTTGTGGACTTCTCATTGCAGTGGCTTCTCCCGTTGCAGAGCACGGGCTCTAGGCACGCGGTTTCAGTAGTTGTGGCATGCGGGCTTAGTAGTTGTGGCTCACGGGTTCTAGAGCACAGGCTCAGTAGTTGTGGCGCACAGGCTTAGTTGCTCTGCGGCATGTGGGATCTTCCTGGACCAGGGCTCAACCCATGTCCGTTGCATTGGCAGGCAGATACTTAAGCACTGTGCCACCAGGGAAGCCCGCAATAAACTTATTTTATCTTTATGAAGAAATCCTTGACTTTAAGGTCATTATTACTAAGACTGCCTAGGAAAGGAGACCAGTTTTGCTTTTAATGCTATTTATTTTTTTGTCCTTTAACAGTTGTCGCTTTTCATATTGAAGAAAAATATATTTCCTAGTGCTTGCACACATTCACATAAAATATATCTCCTATTTCTTATTATTTATAAGCAAATAACATTTAAAGTCCAACCTATATAGTATTGATGGTATAATTTTATCTTTCCAGAAAAGTCAAAGAAAGCTATCATGAACTTGATAATAAGGTCATCTTTTGACTTGTTATGACAATTAGCTTACTCTATTCAGAGAGAGGAGCAGTCTTGGTAGAGTGTTTGGTTAATTCATGCACAGGCAAAAAGAAAGAAAGAAAGGTCGGGGGTGGGGGGAGAGAGAGAGAGAGAGGGAGGGAGGGAGGAAGGGAGGGAGGGAGAGAGAGAGAGAAAAAGAAAGAAAGAAAGAAATTAAATGTCATGGCATCAAACACATGCAGTTCAGCATTTACAGGATTGCAAACATGACTAAGAAAATCCCTTTTCATGGGTTTTGATGGGAACGGGTTGCACAGAAAAGAAAACATCCATTTGATCTATACACATGAAGGGGACCTCAACAAGTAGGTTTTGATTAGTTTTGTCTCTTATCCTGATGAAGGAAACATTTCCAAATTCAAAGTTTTCTAGGATATTGTAGTAACTACTTAAAATTCCTTGCTCTGGCCATTGTGAGGCCAACAGTAATGAGGTTTCCATTCTTATAGAAAGTCTTTTTCTTAGTGGTTTGTGTGAATGGACCTCAATGTAATAACTGACCAACTTATCAGAAGAGGTTTCTAGGGTTATACCCAGATCAGCTCCTCTTTTTTCTTTTAATACTTTTTCTTGTATTTTCTTTTTTTAAATTTATTTTTATTTTATTTTATTTTATATTAATATTTTATATAAATATCTATTTTATTTTTGGCTGTATTGGGTGTTCCATTGCTGTGCACGGGCTTTCTCTAGTTGCAGTGAGCAGGGGCTACTCTTCATTGCCGTGCACGGACTTCTCATTGCGGTGGCTTCTCTTGTTGCAGAGCACGGGCCCTAGGAGCACAGGCTCAGTAGTTGTGGCACATGGGCTTCAGTAGTTGTGGCGCACGGGCTTAGCTGCCCCGCGGCATGTGTGATCTTCCCAGTCCTGGACTCGAACCTGTGTCCCTGCATTGGCAGGTGGGTTCTTAACCACTGTGCCACGAGGGAAGCCCCAAGATCAGCTCCTTGGTATTCACAGTACACACGAGAAGAAATAAACATCCCTCAAAGTGAATTCTCTCCATTCTGTGTTACTTTTCCTTCTGCTCTTTGGTCTCTCTGTTCAGTCCCTTCAGTGCATTTAGCTTCCCGGTTAGCCATCTGCTCCCACCTTTGAAGGAGACTTTGAAGTCACCTTCAAGGATCCCTAGGGACTCTGGGAACTATTGTTGGAAAATCACTAAAATCAGTGACTGTGGGCTTCCCTGGTGGCACAGTGGTTAAGAACCCACCTGCCAATGATGCCGGCGACACAGGTTCGAGCCCTGGTCCGGGAAGATCCCATATGCCGCAGAGCAGTGAATCCCGTGCACCACAACTACTGAGCCTGCACTCTAGAGCCTATGAGCCACAGCTACTGAGCCTGTGTGCCACAACTACTGAAGCCCATGCACATAGAGCCCTTGCTCCACAACAAGAGAAGCCACCGCAATAAGAAGCCTACGCACCACAACGAAGAGTAGCCCCCACTTGCCACAACTAGAGAAAGCCTGGGCACAGCAGCAAAGGCCCAGTGCAACCAAAAATAAAAAATAATAAATTAATTTTTTTTAAATCAGTGACTGCTAAGTCCTTTCAACTTTGAAAATTCTATGATTCTATGTAAATCAAACAACCTACCTCACTTTTCAACCAGCTAGTCCGTGTCTTACAGACAGTGCCACAGTCTTCCAAATATCTAGATATCTGTCATTTACCTGAATTTAAAAGTTTCCACCTATATGTTTTTCATATGCCTGAATCAGGTCTTCCATATGTTCTGATCAGTTCCTCAGCAATTTAAGTCAGTATGTTTGATGATCTCATAACGATGTAACCCCAGAGTACAAATCCAGGGCAGTCTGGGGTAGGGAAAGTATAAATGGTATATTTGATTAATGGTTCATAGTATATGGTTCCATCTTCAGATGGGACTTTCATTTTGACTGTGACATGTAGTCTAAACATCGTAGAACGATATGATTTCAGAATTCTTCCATTTGGATACATAGTTGTTTCTCAAATATCCAGCATTAGGTAGAAGGAGCACCCAGGTGTTGGATTGATACGTTTTAGGAAGAAAGTTTTTGTTTTTCTATAATGATCAAGATAAACGAAGTTCCACTTATTTTGGTATTTAACAATCCATCATTTCTAGACCATGGTTCAATCCTGCTGACGGCTCCGAAGTCTTCCTGAGTTGTCCCGAACACAATCAGCTCAATGCCCTGTCTAGACACCACCTATAGAGGAAAGCTCTAAGCGAAAGTAAAGCAGAAATAAAGAACCAAATTCCTAAGTGATCATTGTATCAGCTACTACTTGTTTTACACTTTGAAATAGTGATGCTGGTTATCTGTAGAATCTTAATAAAAATACTCTTGTATATTAATGTTGCTTCTTCAGTCAAATGGATACTCATACACATTTTTATAGTTTTTCAAAGTACAATTTGTGTTTTGAAGTCCTGCTGTCAAGATCCCTGACATTAATCATATTTTTTAAATGTGTCCTCTTTATTTATAATAGGATCATTTAGTCATTAAGAATTTTTTTTTTTTTTTTGCGTTATGTGGGCCTCTCACTGTTGTGGCCTCTCCCGTTGCGGAGCACAGGCTCCAGACGCGCAGGCTTAGCGGCCATGGCTCACGGACCCAGCCGCTCCACGTGGCATGTGGGATCTTCCAGGACCGGGGCACGAACCCATGTCCCCTGCATCAGCAGGCGGACTCTCAACCACTGCACCACCAGGGAAGCCCAGTCGTTAAGAATTTTGACTAGACAATATTTAATATTCAAGAGCTGCTTTTCGTATGAACTAAATAATAAGTTTAGTCTGTGCATTTTTTTAAAAATCTGAAGTAAAGAAGAGTTGACTTACATTACTTATGAGTCATTCAGCTAGGTTTCCCCATACCATTCAGTTTGGACAAAAATAATAATTTTTATAAATATAAAAAGTTAGTGAAACCTTAGCTTTACTGATTAGGATATCCTATTATATAAATGATGGATTTTTTTCTTTTATTGAAAAAAAAAAGCGACAACTTTCAAGATAATTTTTTAGCAGCTTCATAAAATGCTAGCAAAATGGTTTCACAGATTTTTGTGGCATTTAGCATTTATAAGGTAGTCCTCTCCTTCCTTGTAAACAGAAGCACTATGTATGTTGCAAAAAAAGAAAAGCCTGAATGGCAAATAACTTTAAACTGCAACAGGTTACTTTTTGTTTCTTTCATCTTCTTTGTGGTGTGAGGAAAAATTACCCAAATGTTACCTTTCAGAAAAGATAACAAAGTAAAAAGTCCTAAAGGAGCTGTGGTACTTATACCTGCAGGGTATTCATTACCGCCCATAATCTAGCCTTCACCTCCTTTTCCCTCTGCTGCCCTTTCCACTTACATTTCAGACAAACTGCATACTCTGCTGCTCCTGCAAAGTGCCCTGTGGTAGAATGCCTCTGGGGCTCTGCGTCTTGTGTTCTTCCGTCCCCTGTCAAAATCCTATGTGGTGCCGAAGGCCCAGTTCAAAAGCCTTCTTTTCCCTCCGACTTCTAATTCCCCATTCTTCCTCTTCTGTGTGTTTCTTACCTTTCATGTAGCACCACATTCTTATAAAGCGAGGAAGAGATCAGACCTGTATGACCAAAAACCAAACTACTGACAGCTCAAAAGGAGAAGTTAGAGAGGGAAAAATCAGGGAGAACCATCAGGAGACCAGTGCAATACTGTGATCTAAAACATTGGGAACTGTGAGAAGAAATGGCATTCAGAGAAATATCTCAGCAGTGACCAATGAATACAAGTGTCCGAGGAGAGAGGGGTTGTCAGAGATTATTTGAGGTGTCTAGTTTGGGTGATAGAGTGAATTAATCAAGAAAGGAACACAGTAAGAGGAGACAGTTTGGAGGGGAAAATGAAAAGTTTGATTTTATGTTGCATTTGAGGTATTTATGGAATATCCAGCATCCATGTGCAAAGGAACACAGTAAGAAGTGAAAAATAGGGGTCCAAATCTCAGGGAAGAGAGGGCAGGAGTCATTAGCACGTTTTCTGAGTCAGAGAGAAGATCAAACTAGGAATAGCAGAATATAAGTGAAGGAAGAGGCACCGTCAAAGACGTCTAGAATATAGCAGGCAGAAAGATAGGAGAGCCAGAAAAGCACAAACCAGTGTGAGAAAAATTTGAAATAACAGGGTGGAGAAGCTCAACAGTATTAACGGCTGGGAGGAAGCCGGGAAGCTCAAGCAGAATGAGCACTTAGAAGAGGCCCCTAGATCTGACTGTGAGGAAAGCTTTGGATCCCTTTTTTTTTTTTTTTTTTTTTTTCGGCTCCGGACACGCAGGCTCAGCAGCCAAGGCTCACGGGCCCAGCCGCTCCGCGGCATGTGGGATCCTCCCGGACCGGGGCGCGAAGCCACATCCCCTGCACCGGCAGGCGGACTCCCAACCACTGCGCCACCAGGGAAGCCCCTGGATCCTTTTAAGAGCGAAGTTTTGGTGAATTTAAATGAGGAAAACTAGATTGCAGTGGGTTGGGAAGTAAATAGTAAGACAGAAAGGGGAAGACGACTCTTTCAGTAAGTCCAGTGGTGGAGGAAAGAGCATGAGGGGGAGATCATGCCAGGGTCAGAAGCTTAAACTCGCCTTAGGTGGAAAGGAAGGAGCTGGTAAAGAGCGGTACATGAGACAGAGAATAATCCGTGTATATTTAGGGTCTTTTATATCTGGGATCTACTAGACGCGTCCCTTTCATCCTTGTGTCTCCCAGTCCAGTCTGTCAAGCCAGTGTCTTCCATCAAACAGGTGTTCAGTGAATGAATTAAATGTTGTCAAGTAAGACTTCAGGGTCAGGAGATGAGGCTGTCGTGTCTTGCTCATGTCGACCTTGGAAAGAAACCTAGGCAAGTGTTTAAATATTCTTTACACATAGTTTGAAAAATGTTACCCCAACTTAAAAATTACTTAATAATGGTGATAAGGCTGCTCCTTGTTTTACTTTAAAGGAGCTGGAAAATAAAGTGATAGTTATTAGGTTGCCAAATCCTGCAAAACCTCTAAATGTGCACATTTTTTTTTTTCCTCAAGAAAGAGAGGTGGAAAAACGTAAGTTATTGGCAGCAGTCATATGAAAAGCAATAGTGTTGTATGTCTCGTTTACAGGCTACAGCTGTTGCAATACCAACATGTTAAAAGTGGAAAACTGACCATGAGACGAAGCCTTACTCATTGTCAAAAGCCTGATATGACTGCAAGTTCACCCCTTAGATGTTCAAGGACAAAAACATTTTTAATAAGACTCAACTTAATTCATTCGCCCCCCACATGTTCATTACAGCATTATTTACAATAGCCAAGAAATGGAAACAACCTAAGTGTCCATTGATGAATGAAAGGATAAAAGAATTTGTGATGTATGTATATACAATAATGCAGTCATTCATCCTGCCGTTTCTCTTCCTCTGTAGCCATCAGGTTTGGGCGGATGCCACAGGCCGAGAAGGAGAAGCTGTTGGCGGAGATCTCCAGTGATATCGACCAGCTGAACCCAGAGTCTGCTGATCTCCGGGCCCTGGCAAAACATTTGTATGACTCGTACATAAAGTCCTTCCCGCTGACCAAAGCAAAGGCGAGGGCGATCTTGACAGGAAAGACAACAGACAAATCAGTTAGTTCTCTTCTACTGTCTTCATTTGGGGTGGCTGGGTTTGTTGTTGTTGTTTTCCCTTTGAGTAAATGACTTACCATGTTACACACAGACACACACACACACGTGGAGTACCACTCAGCTGTTGGCTGGTACCTACCACAGGCTGAGTCTGAAACAGAGGAAAGGAAGTGTTTTCAGATAGGGTAAGTAAACATTTTGAAAAGGGAAAAACTCCTTCAAGTTCTCCTAATAAAATTTTTGAGAATAGTATAAAAAGGTACAGGTCATCTTAACTTGAACAAATGAACTCTGACCTCCCTCATCCCACCACGCTCTTTCAGGATCCATGTCTTTTCTTGGCATCAGAATAACTGGCCACTTCTGTATGCCTTCAAACAGCTCTGCTTTTCTCTGGGAAGGGCCTGACCTAGGTCTGGAAAAGGTAGTTAATCCCATTATTGTATCATTCAGAACTACTCAAGTTACCTCTTAGAAGTTCTCCCTGGGGTATAAAAATACATTTCAGATATTACATCACTTTTCTTTCCTTGCAGCACTGTCCTGATTATTCCTGGGAACTGGAAGCTCTGTCCTTTTATTGTGTGTATGAATTTTATCTTCTTGGAGGCTCTGAGCAGCCGGGCCTACCCCAATGCATTCTCAAACATCTGCAGGCACATTGATGACCACTGTTTAGGAAACCCAGAGTGGGTTATAATGGTGATTGAGTCACGTTTTCCAAGAAGCAAAATTCTTCCCTGATAGCAAAACTGAGAAAGCAACTTGGAATTATATTAAAACAAAATATAACCGTGCCTGAATTCTGGTCCCAATTCTGCCATCAACTTGCACTGTGACCTGGGTCACATCTCTGTACCGCAGTTTTCACAGGTAGGGTCTGACTCTGAGTGTAATATTTGCAGCAGCTTCCTAGGGTAGTAAGAGCCACAGAACATTCAGAAGACACTGTCCCAGCCCTTGAAAGCCTTCTTATGCTGTCGTTTATTTTCAAATGAACCCCCGCAGGAAAGGTGTGCGATTACGGGACAGAAATGTGTTACTGTTTCCCCACTCAATTATATTTTGGGAAAAGTTTTATCACCCGTTAATGTATTTTGATGACTTATCTATCTCAAGATGAGTTTTTTTTCCCCCCCTTTTAGCTAAACCGTAAGAGTAGAATAATAGAAAAAGAAAACTCCTGTGGGATATTGCTGCATTAAAAGCCAAATATCAAGAAGAGCAGTAGGTTTTCTGACAGTATTATACCTGTATCCAGTTGTTTATAATTCTTTTTAAGTCTTGCATATTTATTATGTTCAAGACCCATGACCACCTTACAGCTGCTATTATTATCCTCTTTTTAAAGATGAGGAAACTGAAGTCTAGAGAGGTTGAACACTTTGCCCTGAGGTCCCAGAGTTAGCATGTGGGAGAAGCGACACCAGAATGCAGGCCCTGTGCCTCCCACTCGGGTGCGTTCTGCTCCCGGAAGCCAGTCCTGCCCATCGGCCAGCAGTGGCCAGGTTGACATAGACACTGTGGAAGTTTCACCTTGGGAAAGCATTCTGAGTTATGGTTTATTTTTATGAATATTTAGAATGGCAGGAATTGTCCACCTTGTTCTGCTGTCCCAGTACATTCACAGTCAGGAAATTTTCCTTTTGCTGTTTTGTTCTTGAATTCTAGTGAGGAGGGCCGCTGTCTTCCATAGGGCAGGGCAACGGAGTATAGGTCATAGTAAAGCTGAGTCTACGTATTCTTTAAATGAAAAGATCAGGGCACAGCAAAACAAAAGCAAATGACCTCTCCATAGTTTATTTGACTACGGAAAGTAAACCGTGTTCATTTAAAGGTAGAGAAACAAAAGGAAGATCAGGGCGACACAGCCAAATAGGGTTAACAATTGATGGCAGCTTGCGCCAGCTCGCTGAGAGCCCATGTGGGACAGGGAACCTAACCGGAGACCCTGAGCTGGGAGAGGCTTGATGACAAGGGGACAGCCCAGAGCACAGTGTTTACTCCACAGTTTGCCTTGGGCCATTTAGTTTCCAGGAACTGCTTTCTCACCTTCTTTTAATCCCCCAGTCCAGACCTGCGGTCCACACTGGAAATCCCATTAATTTAATAGTACCTGAAAGATAAGAGGAAAGCATTTAAAAAACAAATTTCCTCAGTAGTCAAGATTTTAAATTTACACTCCCAGTGGCCAGCATACTGTTCTCTAAATCTTTGAGTTGAAACTAAGGTAATTGTAGGCTTTTTATGGGGTAAATAGGTATTAAGCTTTTTTAAGGGAAAGGGCTGCAAAATGCTTGATTATAGGCTTCTCAGGTTTGTCCTTTTTCCCTCTGTAGTAACTAGGACTGTGCTTTGCCCATAATAGTTACTCAGAATGTATCTGCTTAATTGAATTAAAAGCTGCTGCCTAGGGCTTCCCTGGTGGCACAGTGGTTGGGAGTCCGCCTGCCGATGCAGGGGACACGGGGTCGTGCCCCGGTCCGGGAAGATCCCACATGCCGTGGAGCGGCTGGGCCCGTGAGCCATGGCCGCTGAGCCTGCGCGTCCAGAGCCTGTGCTCCGCACGGGAGAGGCCACAACAGTGAGAGGCCCGCATACCGCAAAAAAAAAAAAAAAAAAAAAAAAAAAAAGCTGATGCCTATGCCCTTTGAAATTCTGGACTTTGATCAGAGGGCCTCTAACCCAAGATTTTCCCACCAACCCGGGCACCATTAAAGATTGGGATAGAGGCAAAATTGTCTCTTGTTAGGGTCTGGGAAGGAAAAAGAGACTGGGCCAAATCAGAATAGTCCATCCCCTGATTACACAAAACTGCAATAGCATTGTTTGGCGCTCTCTTTTCTCCTTATCTTGCAAAATCAAATTAAGCACTAGTGGAAAGAAATAGTTCAGAGAGGAATATGCGAAAGGGAAAAAAAATCAAAATGTGACTTCCAGTGAGACTAGAGATTTGTTCTTTATCTTACGTGGTCTTGTTATTCATTTGATAGCATCTATCTCAGGGCTGTTATGTTATCACTTGGCCAGGACTTTTGAAAGATAAGATTTGCATTGATAGGAGAAGTTTTGCAGAAGTGTGGACTCTTCAGAAGGTGGGGCGTGTGGAAGAGGGGCTGGTGCAATAGAGCCGTTTGCATCTCGCTATACACCCTGCTTGAAATGATGTCGTTAGGGTTGGTTCAATCAAGCCTGGGGGAGGCTACTCAGCATAGTGGATGGATGACCAGTTACCCAGAACCTTTGGAAAAGGAAATGACTTTACTGAAGAGGCCATTATTTAAATTTATCTTTCTGCTCATTTTAACCATTGCCTAGGCCCAGCTCCAGCATTTGCCTCCAGGCCAACCAGGGCTTCTCCCTTCCCCACTAAAATCTCTTCTATCTCTTATTTGCTGGTGCCACCCTGCAGAACAGAACAGATAAATGAACAGATAAATTAAAGGCCGCTTGTCCCCTCCTATCTTTTTAACTTAGATATCGTATCTTTGGGATATGATTGGCCCTACTTTCATTGTCTTGCCGCAAAGAATAATGCTTGGGAACTTTAGGCTTAGGGAAAGTTGGGAAATGGACTCACTGGATGTGG